AGCAAAAATTTAATATTAGCTTATTCAATAATGAATTTGTTAGATCCTTCGCAGCGCTTGTTCTTCTTTTTACGTAGACTTTCATTAGCAAGATTGACCACAATTAGGTTAAGTACAACTATTCAGCAAACTTGCCCGTTCAAATTTGCTCTTCAGATTATTTTTTTTTGAACTTCAGCAGGTTTGGCGACACCGAATGGTTACGAACCTTTTTCCATACAGGTAGTTCTGCCCTTGAGTCCAAAACTGGACAAGTTTGCGTCCTAATCGGTAACAAGTAGGAAATCCACCCGATCTCCTCTCTAAAATTTAAAAGAAAGCTCAAACATCAACTACTAAATTTATTATTTCTAGGGTATTCTAAAAATGTTGTGAATTTTTCGCAAATCTCGAATTTACCCTGTCTCACCAGCATTGCAATGTCTGAGCTTTGGATAAATCGGTATTACGGTAATCGCCATATTAATCGACTGAAAACAAAAACAGTGCGGGTGCGCATTCTATTGAGTTATTACCGTGAGTACTGTACCTACAGAGCCTAGTATCTCTATGGTTTTTCAACATCTTATTTAGAACTTGGATGATCGGCTCGACAGTTGTTTATAAACGTAATTTTACTGGTCTCAACAACAGATTTTTTAACAAAATAACAATTGCGAATGCAAATTTGAATGTTTGCACGTTGTTGCAAAATCCAGTTCTACTCTTATGTATTTGTTATTGTGCAGGAGAAGAACTAGTTGTTTATTACGCTATTATTGAAGTGTCACAATATGTTTTGTGTGGAGGGACACAACCGCAAAGCAGTTTCGTACGTAATAAATGGTAAATTGTTTTAATATCCTTTTTTTATGTTTGATGAACAGAAAGAATGTCTTCGAAACATATTTTCCCCTTAAATTCTTGATATGTGCAATAAAATTTCTTATCAAATAACAGTTTGATTTTTCTCTTTTCATCTTTCTTTTTTTTATACTTAAGATTACAATTGGGTAACTAATTGGTTGCATTGAAAGAAATGTTTATGTTGATGGTTTATGGCCATCATGAAACTTACTTTCCGCTTTCAAGCTAATACAAGACGTGCACCCAAGGGTCT